GTAACCTGAACATCCTAAATTGCTATTTATGTTAAATAATAATACTTCATAAATAATACTTGTACAGATAAAAATTCACTCATAAAAATCTGTTTAGATGTTAAAATAATTATCAAATTGAAAGTTTTTCTTTTCGAAAGCTAGCGGAGCATTGTAAATTGAAATAATTATCTCCATTGGCTTTGTCTTCTAAATTATGGAATGAATATCTCTTTAGAGGAGTTGATTTGTTTTGATTGCAATTTACAGTTGTGATCTGGAGGGCAATTATCTCTTCCCAACAAGAGAGAACTTTATAATGACACACACCTTCTTTTTCTATATTATTGATCAAACAACAAAGATTGAAATATAATAAATGTGTGTTTCATAGCTGAATAGACCTAAGAAGGGTGGTTCAAAATTCATATTTATAAACATAGATCAAAAAATTCAAAATTTACATAATGATTAGAAAGAAACCAGATTATTATTATCAAGCCAATCATTTAATTATTTGTTTGTAAACATTAACTTAAGATTTTGTTTAATTGAAGGATTGAGGATATATTTTACAATAAAATAAAAACCCAGTAAAATGGGGAGGTAGTGGTGACAATATATCATGAATGTGTATTATATAAAGTAATTGAATGTAATTGAAAAAGTAATTGAAATTACATGGTATTTTTTCAGTGTAATTAATTAAATTACAATTACAAGTAATTGAAAAAATGTTCAATTACAAATTACTTCCAATTACTTCAAAATATGTAATTAATTACAGTCAATTACAATTACTTTTTTCAATCACCCCATCCCTGATGAGAGCATAAAAATTAATCTGTAATCAGGAAACATTAAGTTTAAAAATATTGAGAATTAAACACTATGTACACATTCACAATGGTGCCCGAGTCATCAGACTGTTAAACAATGCTTTCAGAATCTCTCGCAAAAGTCAACTGGTGATGAGCATGGACTGTTGCGCGTGTTTAATGGCTGAGTCTGGTGTTTTGTTATATCTCGTATATGAATCGGAGGTCCATCTTCCTAGTGATTTGATAAGGTGGTCTTCGATGCGCGCTTTTGCTGCAGATGAAGCAGCACCAATTCGGAAAGAATGTCCAGTGATGTAGCTGTCGCCGTGGTTTGAACGCTTCAGTAGATCCCTTAACATTGTCAAAAAATTACACCGACTGAGGGCACTTCCATTTTCCATGATGAACAGGGGGAGGTGCATTTTGGGATCAAAAATGGCATTTCTTGTAGATAAGTAGTTCTTTAGTTGTTCAAATGGGCATAATACGGAATTATTTTTGAACAACTTGATCCCTAATCCTTTTCGGAAAGGATCAGTCTTGGATTGTTTAAGGAAGAGAACGACGTGGTCATTGTAGAATTGTACGTCGCTTACGCACAGATTAACGTGAGGGTCGAAAGCTGCTTTGCATGTAAATTCTGCACATCTGAGGAAACCGAAAAAAGCCACACACTGTTGTCATCAATGTATCCGTGTATTTTGAGTTCACACCTTTTTGAAGCACACTGCACATGTCTTGTAACACATTGTAAGTAATAGGTTGTCGGCTTGGATGGTAGGATTGACTTTGTCTTTTTATACCGCTAAGTAGCATGTGCAATCTAGGTAGATTACCTGCCAAATCGGTGAAGGGGTTAGGCATACCTAGCAGGATGAGATGGTGTCGAATCCCGCGGAGATAAAGTTTGATTGTTTGGTAAGACAGGTTCATGGAATCGTAACAGTAGGTGACAAATTCCATTAAAGTAGATTCTGACACACTTTGACACGTGTTGTTCATACGGCTAAATTTTAAGAAGGCTTGATATCCGGAGTGGTACGTAGCTCTAGTTGAAACGGATATGGAGTCTTCCATCAATGCTTCTATTCTGTGAGAGGTTTCCAAAGGACGTCCTGCAGGGTGGGCAAGAATGAGGGTGTCTGTCTGCTTGAGGAGCTAGGCTTCTGAACTTGTTTATCTGAAATCGAGATAAAGCATGTGCGATTACATAAGTTTTACCTGGTGGGAATTCATAATAAATGCAGAAATTGTATTTAGCTGAACACCAGGTTAACTGTCTCATTAGTTTCATAATAGAAAGAACTTTAGATCGCCCCTTTTGTATAATATTCACAGTAGCTAAGTTGTCACAATAAAAAAGTATTCTTTTGGTAGACCAACGATGTCCCCAGAGAATGGAAGCTACAACGATAGGGTACAGTTTACGGAGCGCCATAGATATGTCCTTGTCTTGTTCACTTGGTAAATCATCTGGCCATTTGTCATTTGTCACTGAACCAGTGACCTTTGAAATATCCCCCGAATCCAAGGGTAGATGCGTCTGTATACAAATGCACACTATTAGCTGGAGTTCTTTCGATATCATAGAAAAATGATATGCCATTCCACTGATCTAAGAACAATTTCCACATTTTGATGTCTTCTCTGCACTCTGAGGTCAGATGAATGTAATGGTGAAGCTCGCCCACAGAAGATGCTAGGCTCAACAAATAAGAAACAAACAAATGATCTTCCCGGTACGATTACGCGAAAAGCAAAGTTCAAATGTCCCAAAAGTTGCAACAATTCACGTTTTGTACAGCTTTTCTTCACGCTGAAAGTTTCCAACATTTCTCGTATTCTAAAACCTTTATCTGGAGGAAGTCGTGCTTGCATTTTAGAAGAATCGAGAATTATTCCAAGGTATTCCATAACAGTATCTGGGCTCATGGTCTTGTGTAGAGCAATTGGAACGTTCAGCTTCTTAAAGATCATTGTCAGGAGGGCCATAGTCCGATCCGCATCAAAATCTGGTCTATCTATGGTTAGGAAGTCATCCAGCAAATGCAGTATAGATTTGATTTTGTAATTGTTTTGTGCTATCCAGCAAATTGCTTGGGAAAACTGATCGAAGATCTTTGGACTAGATCTACATCCAAAGGATAAACGAGTGTAGTAATAGTATAAATTTCTCCACTTCACACAATATAAATGGTACTGAGAAGGTAGTATGGGAATAAGTTTAAAGGCATCTGAAATATCAGTCTTGCACATCAGATAGCGTCGACCATTTTGCACAATAATTTTGATGGCATCATCAATACTCACATAAGAAAGAGAGCATTGATTTTTATCAATGAGTTCATTTATACTTGGGTGAGTTTCATTGTTGTGAGGTGCAGAAAGATCCACGATTAGCCTTTTTCTTTTTAGAATACTTATGTTCGGCGATTCCGAGAGGAGATACTCTGTAGTTTTCAAAAGGAGGTTCCTCATAAGGTCCTGAAAGAAAACCTTTTTCAATTTCCTTTGACAGCAACTCATTAACAGTATCCATATTCTGTGCAGTTGACCTCATGTTTTTGCATTCTCGTGTTTTCAAGTCTGTTTTCTGCACTTTAGTGTCAAACCCATTAGTAAAACCATCTAGAATGTAAGCAACAAAGTTAGGATTTTCAAGATTTTCAAGTTCTAGTTTCAACTGTTGAATGTTAATTGTTGAGCATGGAGATCCTGGAACAGATAGTCATTTGGGAGTGGTAGTAGAGGAAGATGTATTCTTAGATTTGGTGGATTTTGAATTGCAAGTGAGCGATGAATGATCCTTGTTCTTGCATTGGCTACAAATATGAAGGAAAGGACAGTTGTTTCTTCCGCATTTCCTAGTAGAATTGAAATTCTTACAGATTTCCTGTCCATCGTGTAACAGCCTCTTTCTGCCATGCTTATCTGTATTACTGTTTGAGGATTGATGAGAAGTCGTTGCTGAATTGCTCTGTGATTGAGGACAAAACCTAGTGTCATGAAAAAACTTCTGAGCAGATAGAGCAGGATCTGGATTTAGATGCTATGAGTTGAATGAGATCTCTGTCTCTCACAGACCAGTCAACTTTAATCTTGTGAACGGCCAAGGCATTGGCACTTCTCAGAGAAAATAGCTTGTGGTACTCATAAAATCTTTCTCCGTAAACATTGTATATGTCGATGATATTGGCTTCATACTGATCTAATTCTTCTCTGCGATTAGGGAATGCCTGGCACATGCATCGTTTATATTTTCCGAATGCGGTTAAAAACTCAGCAATAGTAAGGCACCTTTTAAGTCGGATATCTTCCTTCTCTGGTTTCTCTTTCTCTGAGATAGTAATTTCGTAATAAGGAATAAGCAATGTTTTTCCCAGAATTGCATCGTCAAAAACACAATTTAAGTACACTGAAAGTAAATACACAAACAAACAAATCGGATGATCGATGATTATTAAGTAATCCTATGGATTAATGAAGACAATAATAGCTTGGTACTGACGCTGTCCGGGACCATCGAAAGATAAGAAGTCACGTGACTAGCTATTCTTGACCTATTGACCAATGACTGATGGACACGAAAATCAGCATGTCTATTGCATAATATTGGTAAACGTAAACAAAAGCAAAGGGGGAAGGGCTTAGTTAGGCAAATTGTATGAAATAAACTTTGCTTAAAATTTTAATAAAATAATTTAAGCTACAATATATGCATATTCAATAGTTCCTATATCAAATTAGCTGAAGAAGTAATCCAAATCAACTTAAAACTAGTTTATGTAAATATTTTCTATCATTTTACAGAGAAATCACATTTTATATTTTAGTTTTAATGAATATAGTTTGAACTATTGAATAGTTTCTACACAAATAGCTAGAGAGATAATTCAGATGAACTTAAAACTGGCCTTTTTAAATGATGTCTATCTTTTTACAGAGAAATAACAGTCTGCTACCAGTTCAAATAATTTAAGAAATAATATATTCAAAATATTATATTCATTTGTATTACCATTATCATTCGTGAACAATAAAAATAAAATACAAAGGAAAGGAAACACTAAACTACTAGAATAAAGATGAAGATACAAGGCCCAAAATTTGTGTAATATCTTATTGTGTGTAAATTGCTTTAAAATATGTAGCAATTCTAAAACACTGAAAAAGGAGTATAAATTTTCATCATTATAACAGAATGGAGTGGTGCATTTCATTACAATAAGGATTTGGCCTGTTTAGAAGGACTAGATGACGTTTTAATTGACGTGGATGTCAGGCAAACTAATGCATCAACAATTCTATGGATTGAAATAAAAGGTACTTCAAAACAAAAGATGCACTCATTATCTGCAATCTTGTAACACATCGCCTGCAATACGAGTCTTAATTAAATGTTATATATGTAATATTATATATGAACTCTCTTCATGTGCAGGGGGTCATCTGCAAATAGACTGCAGAGAAGATCAATTTTCTGACCACCCTCTAGCTGGGGAATCTAGCATGATTCTCATCTTTATACTTGGAGGAGTGGTTGTTGCACTGGTAGCTGGGGCAATCGTTATTGTCGTGTTCATCAAAATGTAAGTCTAAAAAGTAAGAGAATTATCAGGAACAAATAATTTTTGAAGAATGTTTAATATTGGTAATAATATGTGTGTCGGTCATTTCATATGAACAATATGTTGCCATGGTCATATAATTTTGAGAATGTCAAAAATATATCAAATTTCATTTAATAGGAAATTCTGTAAAAGATCTGATTTAAACGAACTTGATACAAACGAGAAAGTCATACCCACGACCACATTAAATCCTCAGGATGGCGTCCAATATGGTGAGAAAAATCAACGTCAAAGTAAAGACTCTGAAAAACAAACTTTTGATTTAATGTCAAACTGTGCAATTTCAAACACTAATACGATAGAAACTTCACTTCCGGTACAGGATGGGAATTATTCCTTAGTCAGTGCTTCAGATTTTGAGGGGGGAAATGACAAAGTGAAGGAAAGCAACATTGATACGATAGAGACCTCACTTCCAGTACAGGATGGTATTTATTCTTTAATCAATGCTTCAGATTTTGAAGGAAAAAATGACGGAGTGAAAGATAAGTGTTTTGACAAAGAAAATTCAGCAGAGTACATCACAAAACAGAGTGATGCTGTCAACACAGTTACTAATCAGATCATTGGAGAGGTGACGGGGGATGTGTATGCCTCTGTTTGTAAAAGAGACAATCTAGAAGACAGCCGAATTACTGGTCCAAAAGGAGACATATACACAACTGTTTCCACGACGTTAAAAACAAAGTGAATGTCTTGAAATTTGGAGTGGGAATCTAGGCTCTTAAAGAGGTTTAGATCGATGAAAGAAGGCAAAATTTTTATTTAGAGAAGTCATTTTGTACATACACTGAATCCAAGTAACTTTATATTTTAGTTTTGTTGTGCAGAGAATTGGGGGTAGGTACAAAATATAGTTTCCAAACTTTTTAAAGATACATTTTGATAGAAAATATACTTGACCCTTATATATATTTTCTCTCTGTAACAGAGTCAAGGTGATTTTGAAAAATTAAAACTATCATTAAGTTAAGATCTCGTAAATGCAATAAAAGAATGCTTGAGCACGAGAACCTCACTGTGTACAGATACTAATAGTTTTACGCTATAAAATCTTTTTTTTAACACAAAGGCGTAGTAGTCCAGCTAGTTTCACATATTAGTCGAAACGGTATCACATGTGGATAATCGATGTCTTTCCATAATAAGGATGACCGAAATTTCTGTTTACCAACATTATCGTGTATTACATGTTCATGTATCTTAGAATACACGTCAAAGAAAGTGATGAAATATTTTTTAAGAATGCAATGAAATATATTTCGGAGTTTTATGATAAAATAAAATCTATGAGGAAGGACATTGCAGACCATATAAATTTTTAAATATTATTGATTTGCAAGATCTTATGTATCAGATACTATATTAGTATAATATTGAAATTAAAATGTATGCTAATGAATAATGATAGTAACATTGAATTGAAGAAAAGGTCCCTTTTCGGATTGAAGGAAGAAAGTTTAAAAATGAAGCGTTCTTACACACGTCCTGTTACATACACTTTAATTTCATTTTACAGACAAATTACCTTTTCACGATTTGCAAAATAATACTATACAGCACGAAGTGTAAAAAATTTTCACCGAAATCGCATTATTTCACACTGAGGTTGAACAAGAAAGATGTTTTGTGAGAAATAAAAAAAAATGTGTTGAATAGGAACAGTGAAAATTGGATTTTTAAAAATTATCAATTCAGAAATCCTATCTGTTAGGACTACTTACTGTGCACGATTTCTAAAGGATATAAAATCACTTGTATCGTATTTCATACTTTTGACAAAAATGTTTATGCTCTTATAGAATGTTTGACTTTGTTTTTCATTTAAAGAAATATATAATATGCTACTGGATTCCATTAGATGTTTTTAATTATCATTGAAAATTATCAAATGAAACAAATCACACAAATTGTGTTGCTTTAACCCAGTGTGCTTTATGAACTTTATGATAAACGTGATGACTTCAACTTTTCTATCGTCAACTTCCCTTACTTAAGTAGCAATATACCCTTATCACCTGCAAATGGGGTTTATATCTCCCGGTTGATTCGATACGCAAGAGCATGCTCCACTAACGAACAAATTCTAAAACAAGGCAAGCTATTGACAAACAAGTTGATGAAACAAGGAAATCAACAGTTTAGTTTAAAGTCATCATTTCGTAAGTTCTATGGTAGATACAATTGCCTTGTCAGCAAATACATATAAAGTCGAATGCTGACTGACGTTTTTCATACTAATTTAAACACCGATTTTTCCGTTTGCCCGATCATGACACGGAGTACACGGCGGGTGTGGCCGCTCGACAGGGGATGCTTACTCCTCCATGGCACTAGATCCCGCCTCTGATGTTTTTTAGAGGTCCGTGTTTGCTCTGCTCCCGATTTGTTTTGTTTCAATGGACTTTTGAGCTTGATTGCTGTTCATTATCTCCATATTTCCTATATAAACTGTAACAGTATAGAGAGGATATTATAAACATGAAATATTTACAATAAATCATGCGTGAGAAAAAAATTGAAAAGAGCATAAATCATAAACCAATAGAGCTAACTCTCTCATTATGATCCCAATAAGTTACACTGTTTAATCAGTTGATTTTTGCTATTTATATTAAATAATTGTTCAAAATCAAATACACAAGGATTTGTATACATGTAATAATAGTTGGACAAACGTGCGAGTCTAGAATTCTTCATGTACGGATAAGTGCATTTAAATAAATAATGGACTTCGTCTCCAGCTTCCTAATATGAACACAAGTGACAAATTCTGTTTTTTCTTGCAATATTATACCATCTTCCTGACTTCATGAATATGTACTATTAGAGTGTGTTAGGAGATATTACTCACATTTAAACAGTGTACAATTTTTCTGAGATAAGTGATCCATCACGAACATTCCAGCGACAGGAGATAAACCACTTGATTGGTGTTTGTTCATAATACTGTGCGTTTGCTATATATTTTTGCAATGGAGAGTGCAAGTTTTGAAATAATTTAAGGTGTGGGTTGTACACTGTAAACAACAGAAAGACAAAAAGTATCAAGGAACTCTTTTTATATAGTATCATCTATCGAATTTGAATAAAAATTGCTTGTAACCATGCATTTACATATGACAGATTTATTATCTGGCCATGCCGTCAACACAATGATATTTTTCAATTGCAACAATATTGGGAATATAAGATAATACTCAGGTACTAGTAAATGCGATTTACTGCTTCTCTCTCTCTCTCTCTATATATATATATATATATATATATACACATGTGTAAAAAAAAAAAAGTCAATGTTATATAAGTACCAAGTCATTACAGTAAAATACATGTATCTTGCATTGAATACTATATAATTATAAACAATGTGACAGTGGTGGAAACTAAATGTAATTTAAAAATGCACTTGTTTTTTGTGCTATATTCTTTTTACTCACATAAGAAATGCAGCTTTTTTGTTCGGGAAAAACTCACTTTATCCTTCAGGTACTTGTCATAATCTACAATTCTTTACTTCCTTTTAGGCTACTTCTCTTCTCTTTGTAAATATGGAAGTTATTTTTATTTTATTTAGTTCTTTGGGTAAGTTTTGAATTAATTGATATCTGTTTTCTGTCTAAGTCAACAAAAATGTACGTGTGTAATTAATATGAATGAATATTATTGATCATATCAATTTTATAGGATGGTCATTTGTTTGCAACAGCGAAGAACTGTGACATACTGAATGTTTATCATGGGATTCATTACGTTACAAAAAGCACAATTTAACATGTGCTTCGAATAAAAAGATATACATAACTACACAGTTTACAAAATACGAAGGTCGATCACATCATCAAAGAGACAAGGAGCAATGCCAGAATTCCACTTCAGCAGAATGTTTTCGTTCTTTTCCTTTAGACAAGAGAGTGGATTTTACATTATATTTCAACGTATCCCAAATCTGTAATCGTGCTAGTAAATGTGTTTTGACCCAACGTGATTACTATAAATCTGTGGTTGAATTCACAAAATCCTGTAAGTGCTGCAGAGCTCAGACAAAGTTTCCAAGAATACGGTTTATTTTGTATTTTGAGTGTTTGTCAGGAGGTAAAGTTTTTTTTTCTTTTCACGATGTATTTTAATTACCTTATGAACTCTGGGAAAAAAAATTTTATGATCATTTTCTTTTCTCACATTTGAATAATGGGAGCAATTGTTGATACTTTTATTTAATATAGTGCGTTTTCCTTGGCTAAGAGTAGAAGAAGGAGGAATTATATTGTACCTAAACAAGTTGCGTCACAAATGATGTTTTTATGTTTATTTTGATTAGTAAGTCAATATGTTAAAAGTTAAATTGTTTCTCTTTTGCAGCTGAATATAATGTAGATTTATTTAGAAATTTGACGGGTAAAAACGAGGGTTCCTTATATCTAGCGTCAACAAAATCTAATAAATGCAGCATAAACGGACAGATTGAATCGGCCAGGATCTTGGAGCAGGCCAACATAAAACTGTCCATTATGACTAAAAACAACCTGAACCGCTGTTCTGGTGAGACACCCGGTAAACTAGAAAGCTAGTAACAATTAAGGATACATAACACAAACAAAAATTTGATGCCTGGATTGATATATATTTTTTGACTGATTTTGAATAGAAATGAAATAAATAATAAATCCCTAAAATATAAATTCAAGAAATCGTAAGTTTTCTTTTGTGCTAAAATATGCGACTTTGTTTTGTTTTCTATATAATTCTATATAAAATTTTGCATATATTTTAACATTGCGACAAAATCTTACAAAGTTCTCCAACTTTACCTGGTAAATATTATTCAGGTTACTTATTTGAATATAAATCTTTGAGAAATTTTGCTGATTTCTGAAAAAACGTTTGTGTTATTTATCCTCAAGTAACAGATTAATATAATGATCCATACTAGGAAAAATGAACTGACACCTGTTTAAAACTTAATTACAACTGAAGTTTTAAACATATTACTCTGAGATTTCCATATTTTACTTCCTAAATTGATTTTAATACAGTTACAACATTTGTTTTATTCACTGTACCTACTGCTTTTGTTGGATATACTTTATTGTTTTAGCGAAAAATGTGTTCATTTTCAAGAAAATTTAAGCGAATTAAAGGGGTAGGTATTGCTATCCGTTTTTGTCCGTCGGCGATCGTCGTGCGTCATGCGTTAACATTTGAACATTTTCAGCTTCTTCTCTGAAACTGCTGAACCAATTTCAACCAATTTCCATAGCATCTATGGATGAAGGGGAACAAAACTTCTGAATTCCTTGGTCCCTGACCCCCTGGGATCTGAGGGGTGGGGCTAAAACCACCAAATTTAATGCAATCTTTAAAAGTCTTCATCTTTACTCCTGGACATCAAGCAGCCAAACTGGCGTCATGATGGAAATAAGCATTGAGCTCTCTACCAAAATTGTGATATTCGTTGCCACAGGGTCAGGGGTTCTGGTACTCGGGCGGGGCTATACAGATCATATAGTGAAAGTGCATTATTTCTTTGAAAATATTCTTCTCGTCTAGCTCCTGGGTATTCAACAAACAAATTAAGTACATAGTTATGATGAGCAAGTGTGTCTCTTCCAAAGTTACGAATTTCAAGGCCCTTGGGTCAGGGGTTCTGGTGTTAGTGCCGGGCTCTAATGATTTTATAGTGAAAATGCATTAATTCTTTAAAAATCTTCACCTCTGCTCTTGGGTATGAAGCCGGTGAATTAAGTACATAGTTACAGTATGATGAGAAAGGCTGCTTCTCCCACAATTGTGAATTTCATGCCCCCTGAATCAGGGGTTCTGGTGTTAGGGCGGGGCTCTAATGATTATAGAGTGAGAATGCATTAATTCTTTAAAAATCTTCTCCTCTGCTCCTGGGTATTAAGCCGATGAATTAAGTGCATGGTTATGATGAGAAAGGGTGCCTCTTCCAAATTTGTGAAAGATGTGGCCCCAGGGTCAGGGGTTCCGTTTGGAGGGGTGGGTGGGGGCTTATTATATACTAAAAATGAATTAATGCTTTGAAAATATACTCCTCTGCTCCTTGGCATTAAGCAAACGAACTAAATGTATAGTTCTGATGAGCAAGGGTCCTCTTTCAAAATTGTGAATTTCATGGCCCCTGGGTCAGGGGTTCTGCTGTTTGGGTGGAGCTCTAGTGATGATATAGCAAAAATTCATTAATGCTTCGAAAATCGTCTCTTCTACTCCTGAGTATTCAGCAAACAAACTAAATCCAGTAATAAAAATGTGAAATATAATTATAAGTAAATCTGCCTTTTCTTTGCTCCGTGGTATCTTGGAGGCAAACAGAGAACAAAATTATAATAAGTGAAGCCAAAGAAAGTACCTCCCCTTTGCTAAATTATTTTAATCAAGAAATCCTAGAATAATTTAATTAAAAGGTTGTTTGATTGAATGAGAATACAAGAAAGAGTGTTATATATATAGAAGCAAAACAGAAATGAATGTTTCGTTTAAAGCAAGCTCAAAATCAGATTCTTGCATATAAAGCAATATAAAAGATTGACATAGTGATTTTTTATGTAGCAAAAGGACCAATGTACTGTAGTGACTTGTTTGACATTTGACGGGGTATTGACTGGTAAAGTGATGGTTAGTAAGAGACTGTATAAAGTTGTTTACACTATATCAATATGAACAAGTGATCACAGAGAGCCAGGGTGACTAGGGGTCATGTGGTAGCATGTT